TGCAAATGAAGCTATTATAAAGATAAGCAGAACCTAAAATATTTTATATATCAGAAAATAGTGAGCCTGGAAGGAAAAGGCAGTTAAAAGGAATTATTCTAAAACTGTTTATGACCGCTCTATAGGTCGTCATTAACGATGATCTCTTCAAACCAGGAGTGATGTCTGTATAAGAATAACCACAAATATAAAGGCCAAATCTAGTAAACATTTCCTAAACGGGGAATAGCTCTGGCATCATACCCATCCAAGTGTACAGTTTGCAATGGAAAGACTATTCCATTTATTACTGAACTGTAAATTGTGAGTCTCCACAGTAATACAGGACTAATCATTTTACTGGTCCACAGATGGGGATGGAGGAGGGCTTTTATTATGCATGGTAGAAAAATCTTTCCCATCTGGATTCAGACTTTAATAAAGTTTATTTTGTTAAATGTCCTGCTTTTAAACATTCACTTTAGTTAATTACTCAGTCTAGACCTCATGTTTAAGGCTGGATTCTGCTATTCTGCTGCTGTTGAATTCAATGGTAAAGCTCCCACTAAGTTCAGTGGAAGTATCCCTTGATCTTGCTGATGCTGAATAGGATTCTATTACATCCAAGGACTTGAATTCATATTATCTTATACCAGTTGGCTATATGAGTCAGATATTTGGCCCTTAATGACAGGGGTGTGATGTAGGTGTAAAATACTTTTAATTGCTACGCTCAGGAAGATGTTCTGTTTGTTTGGTGTGGAGGCATTCTGATTGGAGAGAATAAACTCTGTACCCCTGTCATACAAACCTAAACATTCCTCCAGGACAGCATTCTGACTTCTATAGGACTTAGGGTATGTCTACACTAGCCCCCTAGTTTGAACTAGGGAGGCTAATGTAGGCATTCGAAGTTGCAAATGAAACCCTGGATTTAAATATCCCGGGATTTATTTGCATCTTCCCGTCCGGGTGCCATTTTTAAATCCCCTTAGTCCGAACTAACTAACGAGGTGTAACAGTTAACTCGAAATAAGGATTTAGTTCGAGTTAACGTTTGACTGCAGCGTGTAGCCGCGGGCAGTTAGTTCAGACTAAGGGGATTTAAAAATGGCACCCGGACGGGAAGATGCAAATAAATCCCGGGATATTTAAATCCAGGGTTTCATTTGCAACTTCGAATGCCTACATTAGCCTCCCTAATTCGAACTAGGGGGCTAGTGTAGACATACCCTTAGTTTCCTTTAGGAGCCTTTCTAGAAACTCTGTTCCCACTATGACATAGGGAGTCATAGTGATGCTCCTAATAAGCAAAGAGGAGTTGGATATTGGCAACAGGAAAGTGAGGAAACTTTCTTCCCTGGTTGGAACTTAAATAGATATAACCTATACTTAATAACATCTAAGACTGAGAAATCTTGTCCATAGACTTTGCCTCCTTACCTCCTATTTTGAACCATTGTGACAGAGTAGTCCAGACAGTAAAAAATAACATTTTAGAAAAATAAATGGCATTATTGTCCTTAATCTATGTGCAAGGTGATTGATTAAGGCTCAGGGCTCAGACTGAGGGAAATGAGTTCTGTCCTTGGCTCTGCAGTGCACACTCTTTCTGAGGTTAGGCAAGTCTCTGCAGTCTTCCCTGCCTCTCTATTTCTCCACCAGCAAAACAGTACTTACTTCATAGGGTTCTTGTGGGGCTTGATTCATTTTATTGTTGTGGTAGCTATAATAGGAGTCCATCGTGGACCAAGTAGCTATTATACTAAGATGTGGCACCTGTCCTAAAGCTCTGACAATCTCATATGTGTAAATTGCTTTGAGATACTCCAGTGGAAAGTGCAATTGAAATACAAAGTATTATTATTATTGTATTTGGAGGAATATATTGGAATTTCAAGCTAACACTTT